TATTTGGGATTTTTTACCTACGGCAAACATTAAAAGCATGTAAAACCAGCAGGTTGTTCCATGTACTGACCTAACAGCACAGTTCCCCACTGAGAAAAAGGCCCATCAATGTCACTGGTTTTCCAGCTTTTGATACCAAACTTTTTTTTTTATTTATAAAGTGCAGCCTGAGGGAGCAGAAACTGACTGCTCAGATCTTCAGCTTTTTCCTTTTTCCCTATTTAAGAGCTAAAGGCGTTATGTCATTACCGTCCAGGCAGCAACTTTGCAATTTCTGCCCATCTGTTTCCCAGTCTCTTGTGTGCCTGGTAAATAATTCTATCTTCCTCTTCTGTCCAGGAGGTTTTCTTCACTTCTGGATTCAAATGGTTGTGCCACCTCTCCCTGCACTGTTTTCCAATCCTTCCCTTCAAATGCTTAGCAATGACAGACCAGCGCTTTGGACCGTATTTCTGCACGAGTTCTATTACCTTCAAAGAAGGACATAAAAACTGCCTGTATTTAACGATGCATAATGAATCAATCATTTTTTTCCCGTGGTGGAGCAATATTTTCAACAACATTTCTCAAAATTACCACGGTAAAACTAACACACAATGAAGGTTCCCCACTTCCCCTTTATACTTCTACCCAAAAGGGAAAATCTGGTAATAGTTAAGGCATTTCTATACTGCAATTCTCCATTACAGTGCTGTAAAGCAACACTAATTCATTTCCATATAAAACTTAGCAAGCACTACACAAATACTAAGCATTGACACTGATAGGACCAGTCTGCCTCTGGCCATATTAGTGTTGAGACCACCAAAGTCTCTAGTTTTGCCCAACACATAGAATCCACTAGTAAGACATTAATCAGATGGAAAGGAAAACTGATTACCCTTTGATCCTCCTCTTTAGTCCACGGACCTTTAATAAGTTCTGGGTTTAGTACCTTCTGCCATCGGTGCTGGCATTGAACATCTGTCCGATTCTAGTGAAATGTAAAATATGCAAAGCAGATCGTTCTTTAGACAAGATGAACATAGAGTGATAAACCTCTTATCTAGGTACACTTGCTCCTGACATATTTCACTGCCAACTATGACTACTAAACAACATGGAGTGATATTCTAGATCTGAGAAGAAGGGGCTCAACTATCAATTTGCTCACTGAACTAGGTAGAGATTTCCATCACTTCTGCAGTGAGGACTGTGTCACCAAAACTACAAACTGAATCTTCACCATATACACAGCAGCTGTCATGCCTTCACATGCACTATTTCTACAAGAGCTGAAGTGTTCACAAGCATCTTCTAAACCATGGTGATAATTCATCCAAGCTATTTTTTCTCTGTGATGAGACATTTTGTTCCAGTGTCACGTTGACCAGCTACTGTGCAATACCCTGTCACCCTTCATTTTTTTGCTTCTTTTATTTTTTCCAGCCCATTCTGAGAAATGAAAGGAAAACTAAGGGTAACGGTTTCCACAGTATTCTAACTCAATTTCTGTAGTCTCCATCTGTGGAGGTTTTATATCTCCCGCAAAAATGTAACTATAAAGCAACCACTCCCCTTTCCCTTACTTGGAAACCTCTGATTAAGAGTTGTCACTAGAACTGGAAACAGAAACCAACAGCCACCTACAGGAAGGAAATTGGCAATGACTTTCCAGTCTTCTGTGCCATTCTGCTCCACAAGCTTCTTCAGTTTCTCATCCTGAATAATTTTAAAACAAACAGACATAATTAATATTGCAATCTCTTATAATGCAAATGATACACTTTTTAAAAAAACTCTGTCCTTCTAGTTTTTTATGCAACTCTTTCTGCTTCCTGAATGTAAGGTGAGGTGGCCTGTAGTCTTCTCATACTTCTGATTGCCTAAATCAAGAGATTTTTTCCACTCCTGTGGATTTTGGTAGGTTCCTTACTGCACCGTAGGAGGAAGACCTGACTTTTTCTGTGCTGTTCTTTGCCTTACATTATACATTCCCATTTTATTGCTGAGAGCAATGTAACTACTATTCTTGCACTGGATTTACAGGACGGCACAGATGTTTAGATGCCAGGCATCAGATTAACAATGAAATTCAGTAGCACCAGGCACCCAGCTGTCTGGGGACCTTTGAAAATCACAACCTTAAGCTTTATAGGTCTTGTAAGTAATAAGAGTTCCAGTGATTTGCTTATTGCCTATCCATGTGCAATGAATGTACAAGAAAACTAATGGCTCCTTTTTGCTCCTGTTCACAGTAAAGGATTTTTGCATACTCCCACCAGAAAGAAATTTAGCCCAGTATTTTTAATGGCAAGGCCAGAAATATAGACCCTGAAGAAAAAGGAAAATCTCATGCACTGGGAAAGATCGAGATAGTGTAAAACAAGTGAGACCCAAGAGATAAGAGCAATCCTCCTCTTCCCTGATTAGCACCTCCCAGTATGCTCCCAGTTCAAGTGACAGGAAAGTGGCCACTGGCCTTCATGGCCACCCCCTCCTACCAGGCCACATCACAACCACATCCACCCCTGTAGGAGCAGACTATGATTCAAAAAAAAAAAAATTCTTGCAGGAGGTGACCTGCTCCTGTTTATATATCAATACACATTGTCAGAAAGGAGAAAGTCAAAACATAACTTAAGAACTGTATCAAAGTATTTCACAATGAACTCAAACCAGGCAAATGGCCACAGGATATCCACCTGGCAAAGGAGTCTGATACCACTATTTACCCAGAAAGTCAGCACAAGGGTATCACGACTAAAACACATTCTGACCTTCAAAAGCAAAATACATCTCGAATGCTCAGTTTTGGTACTGCTGGATTTCTTTCTTACAGCTTTTAATTTATTTCCACTCAGAATCATAATGCTGCAATTAAAGTGCAAATTTCAAACGGCACAAAAGGACTGCAGCAGTTTCTGCCACAGTTGTTTGCTGCTGTGGGACACTGAACACACGTCAGGTCTCACATAGCAACCGTTTCCAAACATAAAGAGGCAGCAGTAACAATCCAGCATTGCTGCAGGTGACTCTGAATATGTTTCTCCAACAACAATTACACAGAGACTCACATACCTGTAACATGGACCTTGGTGGACATAAAAACATGGTATCTATACATTTTATTTTAAACGTAAGAACAATCCCTAGAGTTACATAGGACACCGAATGTAGCTAATGGGTCAAAACCAGTGTCCTCATTCGTATACATCGGACTGTCACTGAAGTCAGTTTCCAGACAAGCAATTGGGAGAAGAATGTGGTCCATGCTCTCTCTGTCTTTTTACATGCAGGAGATGAATGAACTCAGATTTACCTCCTCACGGGTCCACCTGGTTTTTCCTAAGTGACGTTTTCCAGTTTTAGGAAGCAGCCCATCATAATCGTGATCATACATCTCAACATCTTCATCATCATCATCACTACTATATATACTGCAGAACAAAACACAATGAGACACAGGAGTGGAACATGAGGACTTCAGGTACTCAATTACAAAGCACAAAAAACCCACTACAATCCTTACAAAGGTTACAAAGATAAAGGTTTCAAAACTTGCATAACAAGATTTTGTTCTGCATTCTGTTGTTCTAGTGTTCTGAACTGGTTCTGCTGTTTTTGGTATCCACAGATACAAGCAAAGGGCTGGCAACCTTCATATTACTGTGCATGTTTAGACCTGCTCTTAATGTTAGATCAGTGGTGAATTACACATTTGGCAAACTTTCAACCAATGAAGGTTTCAAATTAAAATACAATGTTTGAGACAATAAAGAGAACTAGAGGCTGTGTCCATTACACAAGTGCATGTTAAAGATCTTTAACTCATGCCATACACTCTTGAAAATATTAGATGCTTTTATGTTTGAGAGCAGATAGATCTATCATCCCCACATGATATTTACATGACTGTGTGCAAATACAAGAAAAATTAGCCATAATAACCTTGTTTGTGAATATGGCTATGGATTTTTTATGTGAAGGCAAAAGTTTCTGTAATTCAGTAAAGGCAGTAAGTGGTAGCATTAACATGCAACAAGCTCTGATATAAAATGTGCCTGCCATTTATGGGTCTGGACAGACGAGGGCTGAGAACAAGTATATTTAATATCCTGTGACCAACAAATGAATGATTGAACCCTTTTATACTCTCCACGTCTCTAACTTAAGACTTTCTTACCTCTACTCCATTTCTAAATACTTCATACTGGTTTTGAAATATTCTGCTTCTCACCTAAATCATGAGTAAGGGAATTTCCCAGGGGCTATCTATGGATAAAAAGGATTTTTATTCTTTTCACAAACAGGACTTGCTCTACCCGGTTAACTAAAACTAAGAGAAAGTGTTTTGCAACAAGAGCTGTCATTCTGCTGGGCAGTATTTTATTTCCAACTTTGAAGATACAAGCAGCAGTTCTGACACTTCAACTAAGAGATGGCAACCACAAGTGCTAGAAAGGAGACAATGTCATGCTATGAAACGAAAAACTGTGATCTATCTGATGGTACGGTATGGTACGGTATGGTATGGTACGGTACGGTATGACATGACTAAGACATTAAATAAGGTTCTTTTGCAATAACATTATCAGGCGCTATTTATCCCGCTAACCTGTTTTCAGCAGATGACTTATTAAATTAAGCTGCGGTGAAGCGCAGGGACTGTTGGTCAAGATGCAAACACCTCCAAAACACAAGACATTCAACACATACACATGCTTCTAAAGCATGCCGAGCTGATCCGCCATGCTCTCCAGTGCTGCTTTTTGGCCTGTGGCACGTGCCATGAAATCTACACCACACACGTGCCTTTTCCACAGCCTCCCAAGATGCCCGTGCCCTTCCTTCCCCTGCTCACCCACCAGCCCATCCTTGACACCTCCACCTCGCCCCCACAGAGCCCTAGTCCTGCAGCCTGCCTTGCCCCACGGTTCTCTCTCCCTGTTCCCCAGCCCACGGAACTGTTCTGGGGAAGCACTAACGGGAGGTCCCACCACGCACGCCCCTCGCCCGCGGCCGGGGCGAACCGCGCACCCTCCCCGCCCAGCGCGGGCACCTTCACTTTTCTCAGCGGCACACGGAGACCGCTGCGCGACTGCTCGTGTGGCGAAGGAAGTGTTGTGGCTGGATTTCCAAGTATCATTTTTAAAATGAGTTTCGCAGGCAGTAAAAATCCCAGGTAGGCGCCCAGCAGCGACTCCTCCTGCGCGGCGACGTGTTG